GGAACCTAATTTAATTTTATCTCTTAGAGAGTTTATAATGAGTATAAGATTTTATAAGTGTAATAATTCATCTGTAAACCTAGAAATGTACAGCCAATTTTGAAAGAGATGTACCTAGCTCGGAAAAAATGTTATTGAATAGGTTAATGCTGTTGTAATGAAATGCTTCTTCTAATTAAAAAAAAAAATTATATGTATGAGTGTTTTGCCTGCAGGTAAGTGCACCCATGTTGTGCAATACTTGTAGAGGCCAGAAGAGGGCACTGGATCCCCTGAAACTGGAGTTACAGGCAGTTGTTATTCAGCATGTGGGTGCTGGGAACCAAACCTGGGTCCTCTGCAAGAGCAACCAGTGCTCTTAACTGCTGAGCCATCCCTCCAGACCCTCTCACAAGGTTCTTATAGGAGCAATGTAATAACAGTGAATTTGAAACCTTTTGAAAATTTTAAATATGAGCAAACTACATGGCAAAACAATTATTAGGGCAGGATTTTCACCATTTTTTAATCTTGAAAATAAGGTTTTAGGGCACCAGGCATGGTGGTGCACACCTTTAATCCCAGCACTTGGGGGTGGGGTGGGGGCAGAGGCAGGGGGATCTCTGTGAGTTTGAGGCCAACCTGGTCTACATAGCAAGTTCCAGGCCACCTGGGGCTACAGAGAGACCCTGAAAAAGATGTCCCCCCCCAAAAGAAAGAAAATAAAGTTCTAGCACTGGAGAGATGGCTCAGCAGTTAGGAGCACTGGCTGCTCTTGCAGAGGATGAGTTCAGATCCCAGCACCACATGTCAGATAACAACCATCCATAACTCCAGTTCCAGGGTATCCGACACCATCTTCTGACCTCTGAGGGTATTGTACAACATGGGTGCAAAAATAATTTTTAAAATTTAGAAAAAATAAAATTCTAATATTCATTATTCTCTCCACTGAATAACTTTGGGCAAATCTTTTCATACCTGTGGTGTATATTTCCCCTTAATGAAAATAAATAAAAGTGGGGCTGGAGAGATTGCTCAGTGATTAAGAGCACTGGCTGCTCTTGCAGAGGACCCGGGTTTGGTCCCTAACACCCACATGGTGGCTAACAGCTGTCTGTAACCCCAGTTCCAGGAGATCCAACACCCTCTTCTGACCTCCGTGGGCACTGCACAACATGGGTGCACTTACATACACGTAGCCAATACACTCATACCCATAAAATAAATTTTTTAAAAAAACCCAACCATACTAAACATATGTATATATGTTTAGTATATATATATGTGTGTGTGTGTGTGTGTGTGTGTGTGTGTGTGTGTGTGGAGGCCCATCAACATATGTGTTGAGGCCAGCCTACTATGATGGCTATACTACTGACACAATTTATTTGATATATCAGTAAAGGAAGAAGCTTGCATTGCCAGACAATCTCCAGTTATCACCCTTTCTAATGTTTCTTTTCATGATTAAAAACTGCTTTATTGATGGCAGTTAATAGTAGTCAATAAATATTGATCTCCAAAGAAGATCTATGGATCGCTGATTGAAACAGAACCAAGTGATGCCTGGGGTGACTGAAGTCAGTCTTGCTTCTTGCAAAATGAAACCATAGCCAACTGATACATGGCATATACTGTTCCACCACCTGTGAGAGCCACAGTGGCTCCACACAAAGGAACATCAGCTACCTTACACTTCAGATGCACTGTGTTCCAGTGTCCTCCTCAAACAACTTTTGTTTCTCTGGGACCCTGGGGTGTTTGTTTGTTGTCATTGTAACATTTATTTGTATTTATTTATTTATTTATTTATTTATTTATTTATTATGTGTGGGTTCAGCTGCCGCAGGAATGGGTGGCGGTCTGAGGAACACTTGCTAGAACTGAGTCTCTTCTTCCACCGTGTGGGTCTTGCTGGCCCTGGAACTGTTTTCAAAATGCTTCTGTGAAGCAGTGCTGATGGTCGTCTAAGCAGTCTAAGGAAGAGACAGGAGATTCTGCAATATCTTGGCTCAGCTACCACCCACCAGCTTGAATGCCAGGATCCCAAACTACCACTCCAGAATCAGAACTTTATTTTGTTTCTAAATGAGACATCAACTGTTTTTCAAAGCTATCCATTGTCCCCGGTTACAGAAGTAGAAATCTAAGTAAACTGGGATGGTGACACATACACTATAATCCTAGCATTGGGGACCTTAAGTCAAGAGAATCGCAAGGCTAACCTCTGCTAAATAGAGAGAATACGTTTCAGACAGTAAAGTATTGAGGCCTGGCAGAGGGCTCAGTGGGTAAAAGGCTCTTGCTGTCAAGTCTGACAATCTGAGTTAGATACCTGGACCTACGTGGTGGAAGAACACTGCAAGTGTGACTGACCTCCACACAAACACACAGCACAGCGCAGGTGCACACAAATAATACATAGATGCTTTAAAATTAAAGATGAGGCCGGGCATGGTGGCACACACCTTTAATCCCAGCACTTGGGAGGCAGAGGCAGGGGGATCTCTGTGAGTTCAAGGCCAGCCTGGTCTACATAGTGAGTTCCAGGACAGTTAGGGCTACAGGGAGACCCTGTCTCAAAAACACACACACACACACAAAAAAAAAAATTAAAGATAATTTATGAAATAAGAATTGGAGGAGACTGGTAGAGCACTTGGATTTCTGAGAGATACAAGAGACTATCGGCACCAGAGAGATGGCTCAGCAGTTAAGAGCGCTGGCTGCTCTTGCAAAAGACTTGGGTTTGGTTCCCAGCAACCACATGGCTGCTAACAACCATCCATAACTCCAGTTGCAGTGGATCCGACGCCCTCTTCTGATCTCCGGGAGCACTGCACGACAGAGGTGTGCTTACATACATGCAGGCAATACATATACACATAAAATAAAAATAATAAAATATTTCAAAAGAGACTGATGATGGGAAGACACGGAAAATACAGTGACGAAATCTAGTCAGGAAATAGTCAAAACTAGGGCTGAAGAACGGCATCTGTGAACCAAGGACTCCGGTAAAAGCAGCATGCGTCGGGAAGGCTCTGCAAGTTCAGCAACCGCACGGGGCTCCCGGCATGCCTTGCGCAGCTCTGGCGGGAACAGCTACCTCGCCTGAGGTGTGACAGTTGACGCAGCGCGCAAGTTCAGGAGAGCAGCCGCATCTTGCCACCCTGCCCTGCCGCGGACGTCGGTGCACCCAGGCGTTACGTAACATATGCTCGGTTTTCCGTGGCTCTTTGACTTTTTCACTTTGTCTCCTTTCTGTCGCTGTTTCATAAGGGTTTAATGGCAAAGCGTTTGAGGAAATATGTGTGCTTGTGTTTCCCGAGAGGCCCCTGAGGTAGGGCGGCGGGCTGTGGACTGTGAGCTAGGCCAAGGCCGTGAGGACCGTGCGCAGCGGCGGCCCTCGAAGTAGAGCAGGCTCTGAGTGTTAGCACCGCTAGTGGGGCGCGGCCAGGCCCGGGAGGAACAGCAGGAGGGTGGGGGCCAGGGTTGTCGTCAGGCCGGTGGAGGGCTGGCTAGCCTGGGCTACAGGAGCGCCTGCCTCCACAGATTTTAAATGCTGGGCGTGGGGGCGACCTTGATCACAGCACTCCGGAAGCAGAAGCTGACGATCTCTGTGATACGGTGGCCAGCTGCTCTACACAGTGATACCGTGTCAAAGTTTTCATCTAGACTATTTTCTGCCTTAAATTTTTGTTTGTTTTTTTTTTCCTCTGGACTCCGAACTGGCCTGGAAATCACTATGTAGACAAGGCTGGCCTCAGTCTCAAAGATCTGCCTGCCTCTGCCTCTAGAGTGCTGGGATCCAAGATTGTTTGGATTACAGCTGTTAGACTGCTTTTAATTTTATTTATTTTTATTTTATGTGTATGAGTGTATTACCTGTATGCATGTAAGTGCACTCCTGTCGTGCAATGGTTAAGGAGTTCAGAAGAGGGCATCAGGTCCTCTGGAACTGGAGTTCTGCCATATGGGTGCTGGGAATCAAAGCTGGGTCCTCTGCAAGAGCAGCCAGTGCTCTTGACCACTGAGCCATCTCTCCAGCTATCACCCTACTCCTTTTTTTTTGAGACAGAGTCTCACTATGTAGCCCTGGATGGCCTGGAACTCATATGTAGCCTCAAATACTGGTACTAAAGTCATATGCCACCACAGCCAGCTTTAAAAACTATAAAATTACATCTTAATTTATTTGGGAGGTGGGGCTCAAGTGCTGTGGCCACTGGCGGTCAGAGGACAACAGTGTGGAAATCTATTCTCTCCTTCCACCTTGTGAGTCCCAGGATCGAACTCCTATCATCAGGCTTAGGGCAAGGTCTTTCAGCTGCTGAGCCTTCTTGCCTATCCACTTTTGTGTTTTTATAACTGTTCTGGAGGACACAGTGTATCCAGAGCCTAGTTGAACAAAAGACACCTGATTGAATACTTTGGAACTACAAATAGTTTTTTAAAAATATTTTATTTATTTTTATTTTATGTGTATTCCTGTATTGCCTGCCTGTAGGTAAGTGCACCCATGTCATGCAATGCCTGCTGAGGTCAGAAGAGGCTGTTGGATTCCCTGGGACTGGAGTTACAGTCAGTCGTTAGCTGCCATGTGGGTGCTGGGATTCGAACCCGGGTCTTCTCCAAGAACAGTCAGTGTTCTTAACCACTGAGCCATCTTTCCAGCCCCCAAATAATTCTTAAATTAGCAGGCAGACCTTTCATTCTGAGACAGGATCTCAGGCAACCTACCCTGGTCTGCAAATGGCTATGTAGCCAAGGATAACAACCTTGAACTCCTGGTCCTCTGGCCTCAGCCTCCCCAGTTCTAGGATTACAGGCATACACCACCAATCCCAGGGCTATACATTTTTTAAGATTTTATTTTAAGTAAAATTCTGAAATTTGAGATAAAATCTTCCTCACTTTCTATGTAGTAAAGTAGAATGCTAGAGATAAACATGAAATCTGAAGGAACTTTGTATTTGTGTTACAAGGTTGAATTGAAGAAAGTATTTTATGAGAAGATGGCCACTGTACAATTGCAGAGGATGACTTGTATGGTATGATTGCTTGTAATTTAATATATATTAATTTAGATGATTTTCTGTTTTTTTCTGATTTTTTTTCAGTTTCTTGTGGGTTTGGGGGGTGTTTTGTATTGTGACACAGGGTCTCACTATATAGCATGGACTGGCCTGGAACTTGCTATATAGATCAGAATGGTCTCAAACCCACAGAGATCTGCCTCTGCCTCCTGAGTGCTGGGATCAAATGTGTGTGCCACCATGCCTGGCTGATTTTTTGGTTTTTGTTTTTTTTTTAAAGTCTTAACTATTTTACTGTTAAATGAGTTGAGGGTTTGGGGGGGTGGATTGGTGTTGATTGTTCTTTTGTTTTGTTTTGTTTTTGAGACGGTCTCCCTACAGCCCCCAGCTAGACTTGAACTCACAGTGTAGACCAAATTGGCCTCTATTTCACAGAGATCCACCTGCCTCTGCCTCCTGATTGCCATGACTTACGCTTAAGGTGTGTGCCACCATGCCTGGCTTTAAAAAAAAATTTTTTCTGTTATGTTTTAAGAAAAGAAGTAATGGAGAATTCTTTTGGGTACTTGGTGTCTTATGTTAAATTGCTCATTCAATGGCATCTCCTTTCTTTCTTGGAGTTCTTGTCATTCAAACATGATAGGAAACAGGAAAGTTGAGCCTTGCTTGCCTCCACTTAGTCATCTAGTTGTGGAGTTTTGTTTCATGCGAATCTCCCCCCCCCCCTTTTTTTTAATGGCCTGGAACTCACTATGTAGACCAGGCGGATCTTGAACTCAAAGATCCATCTGCCTCTGGCTCTCGAATGCTGGGACCAAAGGTGTGCACACCACGGTTAGTTTTATATTTGTTTTTGAGACATAGTCTCACTGTGAAGTCCCACCTGGCTTGGAACTCACTATGTAAACCATACTGGCCTTGAATTCACAGAGATCCTTCACTACTGCCTCCTGAGTGCTGTGACAAAAGGTGTGTACCACCCTGCCATGCTGCCAGTGCATCTCTTCACAGAGCTGTGTCATACCATCCTTTGGGTTGTCTGCTGGAAAAGTAGAATCAAGTCTCAAATAATGCCTTTTAAATTTCATCCTCTAGTAGGATGGAGCTGTATCATACTCCTGTGAATGTAAAATAGTTTGCACCTGCTTCATGGTGTATAGTAGTGACCATGCTTTATCAAAGCAGGTTTTAATGTTATTACCCAGAATATTTTCTTTGCAGATGATGACTGAGAAGCTAATAAAAAAATATGGTGCCAGGTACCATAAAAGTAAGAGAATTGCTTTTTTCTGGGATTTTGTTTTTGACTTTGTTCTGATGACTACAGAACCTGGAAAAACTGTTGTTGCTGTTTTTGTCTTTAAATATAAATACACACACACACACATATATATATATATATATATAAATTTCAATTTTTGGAAATTTTACCCATGCTGTGGACTTTGGAAGAAAAAAATCCCAATTTACCATGTTGAGTTGGTGCTGTATAGAAATTGACAGCCAGGGCTAAAGAGATGGCTCAGCAGTTAAGACCACTGGCTGCTCTTGCAAAGGACCCAGGTTCGGTTCCCAGCACCCATATGGCAGCTAACAACTGTTCATAACTCCAGTTCCAGGGGAATTCAATGTCCTCTTCCGTCCTCCACTGGAATTGCATGACATGGGTGTACTTACATGCAGGCAATACACTCATACACATAAAATAAAAATAATAGGGGCTGGAGAAATGGCTCAGGGTTAAGAGCACTGACTGTTCTTGCAGAGGACCCGGGTTTGAATCCCAGCACTCATATGGCAGCTAACAACCATCTATAACTTCAGTTGCAGGGAATCCATCACCCTCTTCTGTCCTCCGCAGACACTGCATGCCAGGGTACACTTACACAATGCAGGCAATACACTCATATACATTAAATAAAATAATAATGATTAGAAATTGATAGCCATGTTGGGCTAGAAAAATTAATTTTTTTCCATTTGTACAGGGGTAATGCACTGTATTAAGTATATAAAGCCTTATCTACAGGGGTTTGATTACAGAAACTAGTGAACATATTCTCTGAATTTAAATAATGCTCATGAAAGTTAATGAATTAGTGAATGCTGTCCCTATTAATGAATGCTGTCCCATTGCTTTGATGAAATTGTTTGTAGCAGTCTACCACTAGAAAATGTCTATGGCTCAGAAGCAAAGATAAAATTGTGTTTACCAAGAGTCTTGCATTACATTTAATCTGCCTTAATCCTAGTGACTAAAGAGAAAAATCAATATTTTCTGTTTAGATATTGTGTATTTGCAGTTTGCAAAGGATTCTTAAGATTTGTAAGTGTACCAGGCATGGTGGCCCACATTTAATCCCAGCACAGGCACAGGCAGGTGGATATCTGTGAGTTTGAGGCCAGCCTGGTCTATATAGTGAGTTCCAGGTCAGTCAGGGCTACACAGTAAGACCCTGCCTCAAGAAAAAAAAAATTCTTAAGCTCATAAGCACTTTTTTTATATTACCCTTAGGCTATCACCCAGAAAACATCCTCACATTTTACAAGACACACTGACTTTCTGGGGATTACTAATATGAGGAGGAATTCTTTGGGAGAGTACCATGGTTATGCAAAACTGGACCCTACTCTAAGTCTAGAAAATATTTTATTATTTATTTACGTATTTATTTATTTATTTATTTATTTATTTATTTATTTATGTGATCTTTTTGAGATAGGGTCTCTCTGTAGCCTCAGCTGGCCTGGAGCTTGCTATGTAGACTAGGCTGGCCTTGAACTCACAGAAAAAATCTTTATTTTTAATAGATGTAAATAAGATGCTTTAATTTTCCTTGAATTTTAGAGTCCATTGGTATTTCCCACTAAAATATCAACTGAGAATCAGTCGTTGATGTTAGTGAAGAGGCTCTTAGCAGTTTCAATATCTTGCATCACCTATTTGAGAGGAATATTTCCAGAACGTGCTTATGGAACAAGATATCTAGATGGTAATATAAGACTTTCTTTTATTTAATTTTACTTAGAACATGTGATTTTTGGTAGTAGTTTTATTGATATAACTCACATACATGACAGTTCACTTAAGAGTACAACTCAGTGATCTTAATGTATATTCACAGGGTTAAGCAAGTACCACTATAATTTTAAAACATTTCACCACCACCCCCACCACCAAAGAAACCCATACATGATAAATTACTATCCTCTCTCCTCCAACCTCCCTAGTCATGGGTAACAACCAATCTACTTTCTGTTCAATGAATTTACCTATTCTGAACACTTCATATAAAAGCAATCATGTAATATGTTCTTTGTGACTGGCTTCTTTCACTTACCATAATGCTATTGTGTTGATTAGTACTTGAGTCCTTTTCGATGCTGAATAATATTCCATAATATACAAGTCAACAGTTGATGAATACTTAGACTGTTTCCTCTTTTGTTCTAGTATGTATGATGCCACATTTATGTTCAAGTTTTTGTTTGGTTTCTAAAATGTATTGTTTGTTTGCTGTGCTAGGGATCAAACCCAAGGCTTTATAAGCATGCTAGAGAAGTACTCTGTTACCGAGCTATATCCCCAGCCCTTAAAAGTGTTTTAAGGATATTAAATACTGGCCGGGCATGGTGGCACATGCCTTTAATCCCAGCACTTGGGAGGCAG